AATTTTTTTTTTTTTTTTTTTTTTTTTTTTTTACTTTCAGGTTATAAATGATAGTTTAATATTAGAAAGAATTACCAATATAACTAAATTAAAAGTAGAGGAAAATGACGTAATAATGCTAGATTGATTTTTTAAAATTACAATTTTCATTTTTAATTTACTTTTATTAATTTAATTTTATATATACTTATAAAATTTTTTCTTTCGATTCAATAATGTTTTTTTTCATTTTTTTTTTTTTTTTTTTTTTTTACACAACTCTTTTCATTTTAACATATATTTTATTTTTAATTATTGACAAAAGTTTTGTTTATATACGTTTATAAAAATTTATTCTATTTTTTTTTATTTTTATTTCATCATTTTAAATTTCTTTTTTTTGCCATATACATTTTTTTTTTTTTATCTATATTATACCACCCTTTATTTTTAATTTATTTTATAATTGCATATTTTTTTTTTTTTTTTAAACATTTTAATAAATAAAGTTTGTATCTTTTAAAACAAAGAAATGTATTTTTGCTTATAGCAAGTGTGTTTTAGCATTATATATATTATTTTTTTTTTTTTATGTATAAACATTTTGTTAAACTTTTTTAAAATTAAATAGTAAATAATAGGAGCCTTAGAAAAAGGGTATTTATAATAATATCATGAATAAACAATATACATTTATCAAAGTTTTAATTTAAATATTTCTATTAAAAAATAATGAGTTATAAAAATACAATGCCTTCATTATAAAATTTATTCTTTAAATGAGCCAAATTTTATTTCTTAATTTTATTAACTCATATATATGTATATATATATATATATATAACAGAACTTAAATATATATTATAAAATAAAAAATTTATATAAATTTTAATAAAACTTAGAAAATTAAATTGTGTAAAATATTATGAACTTAAAAAAATACGTACATAATTGTATGCACTGCGTTTTAAAAAAAGAGAAATGAGAAAGGTAATATAATTCTATATATATACTTATTTGTAAAAATATGAATGAAAAAAATAATTATGATTATTTTTTTTCTCTCAAATATATGTTTTGGTATAAATAATTCATTTTTAGCATCAGCAAAGAAAAATAAAATTTATTTGAATACAATAAAAAAAAGTGTTTTTCATTCTTCAAAATTATTTTTTTATTTAAACAAACGAGATAGTTGTAATATATATAAAAAAAAAAATTTTATTAAGTTAACTTTTCATTCATTTAAAAAAATGACACACAACATTAATAATTCACATAAGGAAAATGAGAAAAAAAAAGTGGTTATTGAAAAAGATCCAAGTTTTATTAAAGAACGATTAGAAAAATATAATGAATTGAAAGAAAAAAAAAAGGAACAATTATTAAAAAATGAGCATTTAAAAAGGCAAATAAATATAGAACTATTAGATGGATCTATTAGGAATGGAGAATGTTATGTTACTACTCCTTTTCAAATTGCTAGTTCTATTTCAAAAAAACTTGCTGAAGATTCTATAGTTTCAAAAGTTACATATAAAGAAAAAGTAGAGTTGGAATTATGTGATATAGAAGATGCAGAAGAAAATAATAGTGACTTAAAAAATAGTAATTGTAATAGTTTATTGTGGGATATGAATGAGCCACTTATTGGTAATTGTAAAATAGAATTTCTTAATATTGAAAATGAAGAAGCAAAAAAAGTATTTTGGCATTCTTCAGCTCATATACTTGGTAGTAGTTTAGAAAAATTGTTTGGTGGTTATTTAACAATCGGTCCAGCATTAAATGAAGGCTTTTATTATGATATTTTTTTGGGAGATTTTTCAATATCTAATGAACATTATAAAAAGATTGAAGAAGAATTTAATAACTTAGTTAAACAAAATGTAGAATTTGAAAAATTAATTTGTACAAAAGATGAAGTATTGGAATTATTTAAATATAACCCATTTAAATTAGAATTGATCAAATCAAAAATACCTGATAATAAGAAAACTTCTGTATATAAATGTGGTAATTTTATAGATTTATGTTTGGGTCCTCATATAAAAAATGCTGGAAAAGTTAAAGCATTTAAAGTGTTAAAAAATTCTGCAGCATATTGGTTAGGTAATAAGAATAATGAAAGTTTACAGAGAGTATACGGAATAACATTTCAAAAAAAAAATGAATTAATGGAATATATAAAATTTCTAGAAGAAGCAAAAAAAAGAGATCATAGAAATTTAGGAAAGAAATTGAATTTTTTTTTTTTTGAAAAGGATACTTCCCCTGGTTCGTGTTTTTGGTTACCACATGGTGCAAAAATATATAACAAATTAATTGATTTTATAAAAAAGGAATATAGGTTAAGAAAATACGATGAGGTAATTTCTCCTAATGTATATAGTTGTGATTTATGGAAAACATCAGGTCATTATCAAAATTATAAAGAATGTATGTTTATATTTAATGTAGAAAATAAAGAATGGGGTATTAAACCAATGAATTGTCCAGGTCACTGTTTAATGTTTAAGCAGTTAAATTTATCTTATCGTTCATTACCAATTCGATTAGCTGATTTTGGTGTTTTGCATAGAAATGAAATAACTGGTAGTTTAAGTGGATTAACTAGAGTTAGAAGATTTCAACAAGATGATTCTCACATATTTTGTTCTTATGAGCATATAAAAAAAGAAGTTTTAGATACTCTTAATTTTATTTTTTTTGTGTACGATTCATTTGGTTTTAAGTATGAATTATATTTGTCTACTAGACCAAGCAAATATATCGGTAAGGAATCAACATGGGATTATGCTGAAAAAGAATTAAAAGATGCATTAAATTCAGTGAATATTAAGTGGAAATTAAATGAAGGAGATGGAGCATTTTATGGACCAAAAATTGATATATTATTAAGAGATAGCATTAATAGAACTCATCAGTGTGGTACTATACAATTAGATTTTCAATTACCTATTAGATTTAATTTACAGTATAAAAACAAGGAATTTGTAACACTTGAAGAAAATGAAAAAAAAGAAAATAATACACACAATGATCAAACAGAAAATGATAAAATAGAAGATAATATAACAGAAGAAAAAAATGATGAAAAAAATGATGAAAAACAAGAAGAAGGATCATTAAAAAAAGGATTTGACAGACCAATTATTATACATAGAGCTATACTTGGATCTGTGGAAAGATTTGTAGCTATTTTAATTGAACATACAGCAGGAAAATTACCTTTTTGGTTATCTCCAAGACAAGCTATAGTATTACCTATAAGTGATAAATTTAATGAATATGCTAATTATATTTTTACAACTTTAAATAATCATTTTTTTGATGTAGACATAGATTTGTCAATGAACACTTTAAACAAAAAAATAAGAGAAGCTCAACTTAAACAATTTAACTTTATTTTGATAGTAGGTGAAAAAGAACTTTCTACCAAAAGTGTAACATTAAGAGATAGAGATGATCCAAATAATCAACATATTTATACCATTCAAGAAATTATAGATAAATTTAATAAACTACTTCAAGTTAATTCTCAAAAATTTAACCAAGTACATCCATTTGAATAAAAGTATATTTATAAATTGTTTACAACAACAAAAAAAAAAAAAAAAAAAAAAAATTTATGATTGTCACATATATCTTATAATTTTTTTTTTTTTTTTTTTTTTTATATACATTAGTAATTTTCGTTTTAGTCTATCAAATGTATATTTTATTAATATATATTATGAGTAGGTAATTATTATGTTTTTCTTCATATTGATATTTATATATAATAATGTTATGTATATAATATATATATATAACTGCTATATATATATATATATATATATATATATTTATATCATATTAAGTTGAAAGATATATTATTTTATTTTGTGAAAAGAAATATTTTCTTTTTTAAATTTTCATATTTCTAAACTAGTTTTTATACATTCTTATATGTTTTTTTATTATATATTGATATATATATTTATATATATATATATATTTTAATTTTAAATATATTGAAAAAAAAAAAAAAAAAATAAAAAAACAATGTTTTTAAATTTAACTTTAAATTAGTTAATTTTTTAAAATTATGTGCCAATTTAAAGAATAATATTTCTTAAAATTTAAAAAAAATTAATTATAAAATAGCATAATACCAATTAATAATACATATATATTAACCTTCTTCATATTTTTTAATTTCATCATGAATTTGATTACTATAAGTACAACTTAAATATTTTATATTGTAAAATATATGACCCATTTTAGAGAATTTATCTACATCAATTTTAATGTTATTTCGTTTATGATAATTCAACATTTTTAAAAGAAATTCTCTTCTTTTTAACCATTGACCATCAGATTCCCATTCTCTTTTAGTTTCTGCTTCTGCTAATACTTCTTTTTCTTCTGTTGTGATATTTTCATATAAATTTTCTTGATTATCCATTATATATAAATCATAATTTATATAAAAAAAAAAAAATTGAAGAACATTTAAAAAGCATATATTTTTTTTAATTTATTATGATTATCGAAAGCCACATTTACTCATATTTTTTTTTTTTTTTTTTTAATTAAATTAAGAGGAACATTTTTTTATCTTTGTTTTATTATAAAAAATAATTTCATTTTTATTATTTCGTGAATATTAAATAATACCATCCCTCTTTTTTTTTTTTTTAAATAATATTTTTATAATTTTTTATATTATTTTTTTTTTTTTTTTTTAAGGAAGTGAGAAAAGATTAAAAGAACATAAGTGTTAAAGTTTTAACTTTACAATTTTTTTATTTTCAATAATACCTATTGATATATTTGAGCATAAAAAAAGTTCTATATTTGGTAATATTTTTTTCAAATATAATATGAGAATAAAATAATTTTCTCTTGCATATAGTAATAATATATATTAAAAAAATGGATATACATTTATATATGTAAAATATAAGGAAATCTTGCTATATTTAAAAAAAAAAAAATATTTAAAAATAAGCTTAAAGTTTTTTGAAGCCGAAATAAATAGAAACTGTTAATTTAAATTTATATAAGAAAATGTTTGAAATTTTAGAATAATAAAGATATAATAAATTTTATCTAAAGAATACCAAAATAATTATTTAATATTTTTAAAAAAATTTACACACAATATAATTTTATACAAATTATATTTTTATTTAATGGAATAAAAATGTGTTGCATGACCTGAACTATTAAGAAAAATTAATTTTTAGTTACATATTTTTTAGTGCTCTATATGAATTAAAAAAAAAAAAAAAAAAAAAAAACCTTTGTATTGTAATCCATATATTTATATATTATATATTTTTTATTAGAAGACTTAATACTATTTTTTATTTTTACAATAAATGTAAAAAGAAATTGTAAGTTTCACAAAAAATTATCTTCTATTTTTTTTTTGTTTTGTTTTACAATTTTAAAATTTTTCTTTTAATGATTATAATATTCTATCATTTAAAATTAATTTTATCATTTAAAAAATTTTTCTTTTGCTCCTGTTTATTCCAAAACTTTTTAAAAATTTGCATTTGTATTGACATTAAATGAAAAATGAAAAAAAACAAAGGTGCAATAAGTGCTAAGAGAATCATAATTTTTCTATTAGATTATTTCTAAATTTTTATTAAATATGGTTACTATTTTTAAAATATATTTATATTCATATAAAAATTAAAATAAGAACTTAATTATTTTAATTTTAATTATTTTTATTAAAAAAAAAAAAATAAAATAAAAAAAAATAAAAAAAAAGAATTTTTATCTTTTTAGAACACGCACAAAAATTTTTTTTTTTTTAAAATGCTTGAATCTAACTATACAACAAGTTTCTCTAATTAAAATAAATGCATGTGTAATTAAATGAATTAAAAAAAAGAAGCAATAGTATTAACCTCAATTTTTAAAAATTAATATTTTTTTTAACATTTTTGATATCTATTTTTATAAAAGTTTTAAATTTTTTATAAAAATTAATGAATATGAAGAGAAAAAGAAAAATATATATAAGAATTAAATTATATAATTAAAATGCCACATAATTAAGAGTTTACTCAATTTACAAAAAAAAAAAAAAAAAAGAAACACTATTTAGAATAATAATTAAGAGGATTTTATTTAGTTTTTTAGGTATCTTTAAAATTTTATATATCATTTTTTATTATATAAATTGTTACAAATATATCATTTTAGGTAATTATCGCAAATATATGTAAAATATATGTAAAATATATGTAAAATATAAATTATAAGTTTTTTGATATTTCATCTATTTTTATTATAAAGATTGAAATTTATCTCTTAATAATTTTTTTTAAGATATCAGTAAAATATATTTTTAACACATATCCGTAACAAAGATAAAATATTTTATGTAACATTTTTCTATTAGATATTCACTTTAGGTATGACACGTAAGTAAAAAAAAAAATAAAAAAAGAAATACTTATTTATAATTAATATATTTTTTAAGTAGTAAATTATAGTAGTGTACTAAAAAAAATGTTTTATAAATAGAGGAAAATAAAAATATATAGAGAGCTTATTTTTACTATATGTATTATATTTAAAAAGACAATACAATATTTATAGAACAAATTTTAAAAATATAGGGAAAAAATAAAAATAAAAAAACATTAATATAAATCTGAAGTTTTTTATAATTATATAAGAGACTTACAAATATAATATGTGATAAATATTATATATTTAAAAAAAAAAAAAAAAAAAAAAAAGTAAAAAGAAAAAAGAAAAAAGAAAAAAAAATATATTTAATAATTTATGTACTAAATTTGGGATAATGGAAAGTAATAATTTATCAGAAAAAATAACAGATGAAGAAGAACAAAACACACAAAATGAAAATAATGAAAATAATGAAATTAATGAAATAGATGAAAAATGTAATTTAAAAATGGATGAACCAGTAGAAACACAAAAAAGTGAAAACAATGAAGAAATAATAAATGAAGATAGTGAGCCTAAAAAAAATAAAATGGATATTAAAAATAATGAAAATGGTGAGGTATCAAAAGGATTTCTATCACCACCAGCTTTTCATTTAACTGAAATCATGCATAATGGGAACTGCTTTAAGAAAACACAAGGGCATGTAGCAGTAGAATTAAATGGTGATATATGTATATATGGTGGAATAGTTGAAAATAAATGCACAAACAATTTTATAAGATATGTACCTGGTATTAACTTGTTTGAAAAAGTGCGTTTAAATTCAAATGATATACAACCTAGAGCATTTTGCTCAGGAAATGTTATAAATGAAGATAATAAAAAAAGTATCATTTTGTTTGGTGGTATAAATGAAAAAAATGAAATTATTAACGAGACATGTAAATTTGATTTTCAAACAAAAAAATGGCTTATAATTCATAATAAAGTTAATCCATGCCCAAGATATAAACATGCTTCTTTTAGTTTTGAAAATTCTATATATATTCATGGAGGTTTAGATAAAAATGATCATGTATTATCAGATTTATGGTGTTTTTCTGAAAATATGTGGAAAGAAGTTAAGCAAATACGAGTAACACCAGAAGCAAGGCATGGACACAGTTTAGTTTTTTCTTTATATGGAAACGCAAGATTAGCTTTTTTATTTGGTGGTAATAAAAAAGGTTTCAATGGAGCATTATCAGATACATGGATTTTTAATATAAACACTAACAGATGGAAAGAGATTTCAAAATCTTCAGGATGTAAACCATGTGCACGATGGGGGTTAATATGAGAAATTATAAAAAAAAAAAATTATATAAAAAATATATGAATGTAGAAATATTATATAGAGCAATGAAAAAAAAAAAAATTATAAATCATACATATATTATGATATTTATAAATATACATAAAAATATATAAATTTATTCTTTTTGATAGTCATTCTGCACAATTATTTGATAATGAATGGATGATAATTTATGGGGGTATTACAAATGGATGGATTGATAACTATGCTTTGTCAGGTAAAAATACAAGATCTATAATCTTAGTTTCCTTTTATATAGATTAAATATATAAAATTATATTTTTTATTTATATTTTTTTCTTTTTTTTTATTCAAGACATGTATGCGTTGAATATATATACATTTTCATGGTTTGAAATTGATATAAGCACATCAAAGAGTTTTAATAGAGGATACTATGGTTCTCTGTGTTTTCTACCTTATAAAAAATCTTTACACATTTTTGGTGGAACTGATAATTCGCAAGAATATTCTGATGCTTTTAGTATGTCACCTCTTGTAACATATGTATCATACAAAACATTGACAGGAAAAATTGAACAGCTAAATGATAAAATGAGAAATTTAAGTTCTAATTCTAATGATAGTGAAAATATAGATTTATCAGAATTTGACATGAAAATTAGCGAATTAAAAGAAGAAGTTAATAATATAAATGAAATGATGAAAACTTTTGAGACTAAGTTTTATGGTAATAATTTAAATAAATTTATAATTAATAATAATATGATAAAAAAAAAAAAAAAAAAAAAAATGTATTTTTATTGAATACCACATATATAAGAATTACATTAATATATAGTGTTTATATTTTTCCATAATATTATTTTTCTTATGTTTTCTTAGAACTTGAAAAATTAAACGAACAATGTGAAAAAATACTTTCTAAGGATATTGGCTCAGAAGCTATGGAAAAATTAGAGGAGCGCATAAGAAAATTAGAGTTATCTAATAACTCAATTGATAAAGATAATTAGATGCATGTGCATACATTATAGTTTATAGCATAATTAAAATATTAATAAAAGATAATTAAGGGTTCTTTTTTTTTCAGTAATTTCTATTATTTTCAACGAATTCCATAATAAATAAATATTATGTTTTAAATTTTCATTTTTTTCTTTTTTCATTTTTTTTAAAAATGAAATATCTTATAAATTTATGAGCTATAAAAAAAATTCAATTTATTTTCTTAATTTTACTTTATTTTATTTTTATTTTATTTTAATTTTTTTTTTTTTTTTTTTTTGAAATATTTCTACCTAAAATTGTATAAAAATGCTTTAAATCCTTAATTTTTTCTTATTTTTAATTCCTACACCTACCAAGTTTTTAAAAATGACAACAGAACAAAATTTTTTTTAAGATAACAACCATTTTTATTTGTTGAGAAAAATATTTTTTTAAATATAAACTATATCTTTTTATTTTATTTATTTTTGTTTTTTTATTTTTTACTACATTTTTTTTTATTAATGTTTTTTATTTTTTTTTTTTAAAAACAAGGATTCTTTTACATTAAAAAAAATAAATAAAGTTAGTTCCAGATGATGTTGCATGATGCACACGTACATTGTTAAAAAAAAAAATTTAAATTAAAATTAAAGTCTGGATTAACTATTTTAAAACATTTTTTTCAAATTATTAATTTCTTTTAGCCACTTTATGAAATTCAATAGAAATTTAAATTTCTTTTCTATTTTTTTCGTATATTTTTATTTTTTCTTTTTAATAAAAAAATATTTACGAGATGCATATTTTAAAGAAAATTCAATTAAAAGAAAATGACAACTAATAGATTCTTTAATATAAAAAAAGATGATTCATATCTAACAAAATTTACACATGATACTATAATATTTGGAGAAAATTTATTTAAAATAATTTCAAAGACATTTACAAATGACAAATGTGAAATTTTAAATGAATTCGCAGGAGAAAATTCTGATTCCATTTCTTTTTGTTCTGAAGTTTTGCCTTTTTATTGTAAATCGGAAGTAATCCATCAAGAATCTATTTTCAACGTTCGTTTTGGTCATTCAAGCATTTTTTATAATAATTTTATTTACATTTATGGAGGAAATCAAAAAATTTCTAATTTCAATTCAAAATTAATTCAATATGATATAGGTAATAAATGTTTAAAAAAAAAAAAAAAAAAAAAAAAAAAAATTTATTAGCATGTTAATGTATTTATTTGTATTATTTTTTTTTTTTTTTTTTCATTTGCATTCGATAGGTACTCAAATTTTCAAAAGAATAGAAGAAATAAACCCACCCAAACCACGTTATTTTGCAACATTAAATTTAATTTATTCAAGTGAGCTAAATGAATATTGTTTACTTCTTTATGGAGGAAAAAGAAATTCATATATTACAAATGATACTTATATTTTTATTATAAGTAAAAACACTTGGAAACACGTAAAAGCTAAATTTTCTCCACCACCAATTTATGGTCATGTTTCTTTTAAATACAAAAATGTTATTTTTATTCATGGAGGTATAAAAATTTAAAAAAAAAATAGTTTTAATAATCTTTGAAATTAAAACTTTTATATTGTATTATATATATTATATTTTCGTGTTTTTTTTTTTTTTTTTTGTATATATGTTCATATATAAAAGAAAATTTTTTTATTTAAATAGGAAATATGGGGAATTCAGAAACAAACAGTGATATCTGGTGTTTTTTTGAAGAAGAAAATAAATGGGTAAAGGTTATGAGCAAAAGTGAATATTATAAACGAAATACATCTAAACCATGTGGTAGATATTTTCATTCATGTGCTATTTGTGTTTCTAATCAAGGAAATGATATAAAGGCTTATATTTTTGGAGGATTAAATAATAATAATAAATGTGTGGAGGATGTTTTTTGGTCTTATTCAGTAAGCAATGGAAAATGGAACCAAATTAAAAATTCCATTGGTGAAATGCCAGTAGAAAGATATGGGTTAAAATAAAATAATATCATCTATTTAAAAATATAATTCTTTCATTTTAATATTATTTGTATTTATAACTTATTTTTACATTATCAAATAATTTTTTTTTTTTTTTTTTTTTTTTTTTTGTGTGTGTGTGTAGTCATAGCTCAATAGTTTTAAATGGAAGATGGTTTGTCATATTTGGTGGATTTAATTTAAGATGGTACCACAAGGCACAACTCTTAGGTATAAAAATTTTACAAATTTTATATATATAAAATTATATATTAGAAGATTATGTATATACTTTTTTTTTTTTATAGACATACATGCTTATGATATAAAATTAAATACTTGGTCAAATTTAAATGTATATGGTATGTTACCAGTAACTCACCATTTCTATGGAAATATTGTTCAAATTGATGAAAATGGCTATTTTTTAATTTTTGGTGGTTTAAGAAATAATATACCTTGTTCCAATGTATATAAGTATACTCCTTTATTTGCGTCTCATTATTTTAAGTATAAGAATATAAAAAAAAATAAAAAAAATTTAATCATAAGTATATATATATATGAATATAAGTAAATTTATAATACACTTTTTTTTTTTTTTTTTTTTTATTATTAAATTGTAGAATTTTACATAATAAATTAGATGAATTACATGAAAAAATAGAATCTTTTGAAACTAATCCCAAAAAATCATTAAATCCATTATTTAGAAAAGAAATAAATGAATTAAAAAAATCTTTAAGTGGAATTACCTTTACGTTCGTTAGATACATACAATTAATAAGTGATATAAATGAGAAAATAAAAATTTCAAATAAATTAGCCAAAATAAATTATTCTCGTTTATCAGCAAAGTTTGAATCTCAAGAAAAATATTATAAAGACTTAATTAAAAGAACTCAAGCATTGAATGACTCTACAACAGATTCTTCATGTGAATTTAAAGAGGGATTATCAAAAGAAAGTAGCGAAAAAGAAAATTTAATAAACCAATGCTCTAGTTCTTCATTTTCTAGTCAAGATAACAATGAAGTTAATTATGAATCACTAATATATGAAGGAATTAATGAAAACAAAAAAGTATGAAAAAAAAAAAATTGAGAAAAAGAAAACATAGTTTTAATGAATTACTAATCGTTCTAGTTCTTATTTACAACTATTTTTCCAACATAAATTGAACATGAAGTTAAAGGTGGTAAAAAATAGTTTTTATAATAATATGTTAAAAATAGTAAACATATAATATTTTAAATTAACAAATAGTAATAAACAACTAAAATAATTAAATAATTAAATATAATTTAATATTATTATAGTATTAAAAAGATAGGCAAAACAATTTATTACCAAAAACTTGATTTATATTTAATAATATACAATCGTTAAAAAATCTACAAAATTATGACTCCACTTTATTAAATAAATAATTTAATTAATCTTAAAATGCATATTTTTCATTTCTCTTTTCCCTAATTTTTTTTTCTTTTTTAAAAAAAAAATATAAATTTGTAAAACATGTTTATTCATAATGTTATTTTAATCTTCATTCTAATAAAAAATAATTTTTTTTTTAATTTAAAATTTTAACACAATTTTTTATATTTTAGTTTCATTGATTTTTCAATTTCAATTTATGTAATATTAACATTTTTTTCGTATTTAATAATTTAATGTTAATATCATTGCAACTGCTTTGATGTTACTATATTATTAATATTTTATTTTATTTTTTATTAGAGTTTCATGTATATAAAATCATGAAAAAATGTCTGTTAATGATACTAATCAAATATTTTTATAATTAAAAAAAAATATATATATATATATATATGTATATTATAAAAATATGGAATAATAATTTTAATTTTTTAAATTTAATTTAAAAACCAATATTTTTTTTTTTATTATATATTATATCTTTAATATTTAAAAAAAAAATTTTTTTTTTTAATTTATTTTGTTTTATTTTAATTTTATTTCATTTTATTTTTTTTTTCCTCTTCACACGCACTAAAAAGATAAATTAATTTTTGAGTTTTCTAGCTCATTATTATTTTTATTATTTTTTTTTTAAACAAAATATTTAAAAATTAAAAAATATCTTTGAAAATAATTTTAATTTTTAAAAAAAACATAATTTAAAAAAGAGAATATATAATATATATTTATATATATATATATATACATGTAGAATTTTAATTTTTTTCTTTATTCTTGTGTTTTGAAAAAAATGGTTTTTATTCCTGTTGAAGTTATTTTTAAGAAATTCCCAAATTTTTCTAAAGATAGAGTAAAATTTCTGAGGCGATATAGGTAATAAGAAAAAATAATGAAACATATAAGAATAAAAAAAATTGTAATTTTTTGAATTAACAAAATAACTTTAAAATATCTTAATTGTACAACATTTTATTTTATAAATGATATTTTACAATTATATTGTTTTTATGATTTAAATATTTTTAATAATTTATAACTTTTTTTTTTAAAAATATTTTTAAAATTTAAGAATATATTTAATATTATAATTGTAATTCTTTAATATTTTATCTTATAAATATATATGTCAATAAATTTAATTTTTTTTTTGTTCAGTTTTCTTAGTTTATTTTTGGGTGGTTTGTTTGTTTATAAAGCTCATAAGCCAGATTTTAGTATAAGGCATTATAATCCTTCTTATTTTTACAAACGTCATTTAGACAAATTAAAAAAAAAAGGATTAATAAACGAAGAAAAGTATAATAAATATTTGGATAATTAAAAATGAAGTTGAATACACATTTTTAGGAAGGAGAATTCATGTAAAAAACTGTTATGCTTAATTATTAAAAAAAAATATTTTCCTTTTTTTTTTTTTGAATATATATATTCAATAACTTTTAATGTTTATAAGAAGAAATTTAAACTTTTGCAACTTATGTTAAATTCATTTACTTTTTTATAAGCATTTATTTTGTGTACTATTGATAAAAAAAGTATATTTATTTTATTTTTTAAACAGCAATTTACCTATTATTTTTATTCTTTAGAAAACTTTGAAAATATTATTTTTCCTATTTTTACTTTTTTTTTTGTTTTTTTTAACTATTTTATTTATAAAACTATATAATTATTAATAATAATAAAAAAAAATTTTGCTTATATTTTAAAATGAATTGTTAGAATTAATTATGTATTTAAAATAAAAAAAAGAAATTTAAATTAAAATTGAAAAAAAATAAGTTTTAATAAAAAAAAGGAATGTAACGTCAAAGAAAAGTTTAACTTATAATCACACTACTTTAATTATAGAAATCTTATAAAAATAAAATATTTCTTTTCTTGTATAACTGATAATAAAATATGAATATTATGCATATAAAAAAAAAAAAAAAAAAAAAATAGATACATACTAATTAAAAAAATACAGTGAAATGAATTATATAATGGATAATTTTTTTTTAAAAAAATACTACTGCAATTTAAAAATTAGGTGAATATGAATACAATTTTTTTTTTAAGAACATTTCAACTTTATTTTATTTTTTTTTTTTTTTTTAATATATGCATATTTTTTATATTTGTATAACAAATTTTTAAATTTTTTGTTGAAATTTAACATATTAACATTTAAAGTTATAAAGAAATAAAAACTTAAAATTTAAATGTTTCAATAATAACATTAACAATTTCAATAATATTTTAAAAATTATTTTTTTAATAGGAATGATTGTTACATATATTATGGATATGATGTTGATAAATAATCTTATGATAAAACGATATATATAAAATAGTACAAAATATTGATATATTTAATCTCCTTATTTTCGAAAGAGAAGTTTTTTTTTTATCATTTAAGTATTTTTATATTTACATTTTTTTTTTTCTAATTATATATAATTTTATGAGAATAAAATAAAATAAAATAAATAATATAAAATTATATTATTACTAGCTTAAAATAAGGTTAAAGAGTTAAATAAATGATAAATTAATGCAGAATAAAATTAACATAAAAAAAAAGGAATATTGAAGAGAAAAAATAAAATAAAAAAAGCTGTATATTAAAAAAGAATAAAGATAAGAAGAAAAATAAAGCATATATATATATGTATATATGAAAAGTACAAAATAGTAAAAAAAAATATAAAGTATATATATATATATGACGTAGTAAAAATGAAATTAGTGTCGTTTTTAATGAAATTAACTAATGAAAATGTTACGATTGAATTAAAAAATGGAACATTAATAACAGGTGTTATAACTGGAGTGGATATAAAAATGAATACTCATATGAAAAATGTTAAAGTTGTAATTAAACATAAAAACATTGGTGAATATAATGTTAATAATAAACAGTTTTTATCATTAGAACATGTAACTATTAGGGGTAACAATATAAGATATTTTATTTTATCAGATAGCTTGCCTCTTGATACTTTATTGGTTGATGATACGCCAAAGCAAAAAGTTTCAAAAGATAAATCTTTTTCAAATAAAGAAAGAAATAAAGGAAAAGGAAGAGGTAGAAAAATTTCTAAAAGATAACCTTATAGTCTTATTTTTATTAAAACAAGAAAATAAAAAAAAAAATAAATTAAAATAAAATAATAAAAATTTTAAATGTTATCAACTTAAATTTCTATTTTTTCTTATTTTCTTCTATATATTTATTTTATTTTATTACTTCACTTTTTTTTTACTATATATATAAACAATGTGTTTTTTCATCATTACTGATTACATATCAGTTACAATGTCTTTTAATTTGAATATTTTTTTCTTATATATTTTTTTTAATTATTTTTGTGTAACTTTTTTTAATTACATTATGCAACCCTTTTCCTTACAAACATTTAGTACATAAAAACTTTTTTAAACTTTAATTATTGTTTACTCAAAATCAAAAATGTTTTTCTTAATGTTAAATTTTGATATATTTTTATAATAAAAATGCTTCAATGTTTTATATCAATGAAAAAGAATGAATGAAAAATATAAAAAATTTAAATAATTGTAGCATTTCAAATTATATATATCTATAAATGAATAATCTATATTTATATATAATAATATAAATGAAGTTCCTTTTTATAATGTATTTCATTTATATACTCCTTTTTTTTTTTTTTTTTTTTTTTTTTTTTTAAACGTATATTTTAGATAATTTTTTTAAAAAATTATTTACAAAAAAAAAAAAAAAAATAAAAATGTCAAAATCAAGCATGTATTATAAACATTTCAACTTTTAAAAATTTCTCAAAATAAAATAAATTCAACATAGAATTTGTTCTTTCATTTTTATCTTAAAAAAAAAAATAAATATTTTTTATAAATATGAATGTTAAAAAAAAAAATTATAAAAATAGAGATGAATTTATAAGTATAACAAATATATAAATAAATCTTTATTTTTATTAGTTTTTAAATTATTGTAATTTTAATAATATAAATTAGCTAATTATAAAATTTACTTGATTCTACAATACAAATGACAAATAAAAAAACATTTTAAAGATTATTTATCTTCATAGAAATATATATACCTTCTTAATATGAATATAATTTTATTGAATTTAATTCTTAATTTTAAATAAATGAAATAAAAACGATAACACATAGGCATATGTATATACATATTTATATTTATATACATATATTTTTATTTTAATATATTATTTAAAATATATATGAAAGAAAAATAGAATATTTTTTAAAAAAATTTAGTGTACAAAATTATAGGATGAAGAATCTATTAAATAATGTAATTTCAAATTTTAAATTTAAAAGTAACTTAAATTTCAGAAGATATTTTTCAGGTACATATGAAAAAAATATATTTACTAAAAATATAAATGGACAGAATTTTCGTGTATATGATGAAAATATTATTGGACGCATAATTTTTTCGAAAGATAAAAAAAATTTCTCCACATTTATGAAAAATGTTATAGAACAGGTAAAATTTATAGAGAACATTTTATTCGCATATATTATCAATTTAACAATTCATTATAGTAACTTAATATTTTAAATTAAATTTTTTTATTTTTAATTAGGTTAAAAAAGATATGAAAGAAAATAAGCAATATCAAGAGGCTTTAAAAGAATTAAAAGAAAAAACTGAAATAAATGATAAAACTATGAAATTAAAAAAGAAAATTGAAGAAAATATAAATTTTTACAAAAATATAAAAGAAAAAAATGTGGAAGCTATAAAAATATTATATAATGATGTTCACAATTTTGTTAAATATTGTTTTGAAAATAACTATATATTAAAACATAGTAAAAATATAAGTATTCAATTTTTTTCAATTCTCAAAAAATTTATAATAAATTATTCAGATAAATTTATTCAGTTAAAGGAAAGGTGGAATGATAATAGTGCTTTTATTCAATTAGATAAATGGCGCCAAGAAATGGCTATAAAAAGATATAAAAAAAAAAATAAACAGGAAAATGAAAAAATAAATGAAAGTGATTTATCTGAAAATGATTCTGAACAAAAAATTGAGAATGACATGAATATTAATGAAAAAAATTCTGAACAAAAAGAAAACAATGAATTAATTTTAGCGTATGAATCAGCGTGGGATAAATTCGGAAGTAAATTAAAAGATATGCCATTTTTAAATAATTTTTTTGAGAATCCATTTATAGGAAAATTATTTGGAGAAACAGAATTAGCTGCAGCTTTAAGAGAAATGAAAATGTATGATAAAAATTTTAAATTATCAGAACTTATGTATTTATTTGAATATGTGATATCAAAACATATTGTAGAATCTTATTTAATTGGAGATGAAGAAACACTGAGATTACATTGTGGATCATCGGCTTTTAATTCTCTAAATGCTAGTATAAATGAAAGGAAAAAAAAAAAAGTTTATTTAGATACAAATGTTTTAATCTACAAAAATCATGAACTTAAGGGAGCTCAAAGAATGGAAGAAAGTTCACCCTGGTTTATTTTTACTTTTCACACACAACAAATAAATTGCTTAAAAAATAAAAATGATGAAATTATTGAAGGAAAAATAGATGATATAAGAGAAGTTGTTTATACGATTGCTTTATCAAAACACCCTGAACCAGAAAAAGAAGGTTTATTATATCCATATATAGTACGAGAATTTGCTATTATTGGTAATACACCTTCTTGGTAATTTTATTAAAAAAAAAAAAAAAAAAAAAAATATAGCTTAAATAAATGAAGACTACAGAATAATTTATAAAAAAAGAAAAGTAATATTAAATATTAATAAATATTTATTATCTATGATAATTATATTGACATATAATTATATAGTTAAACCATTTTTTAATTAAGTTTTTATGTAAAATAAGTTTGTCAAAAAATAAAAATTAAAAAAGGAAATCTATCTTTTTTATAATCCTAACTTAAAAATGTAAATATTGTTATAGTTAAACATTTATGTATACTTATTTTTTTTTTTTTTTTTTTTTTTTTTTTTTAATGTAATTCTTTAAATTTTACAAAATGTACTTATTATATATATATATATAATACTTTTTTTTTTTTAAATAAGATTTGTTTCAATTAAAAACATTATAATTAGGATTTTTTAATTTGATTTAAATTTTTTTTCCTATTTATAAAGTGCTATAAATTTGTTTAAAAAAATCCATATACACATGTATTTATTTTATTTTCCTTAAAAAACTTTTTAATTATATAATGATAAAAAAAAAAAATGTAAAATAAATATTTAAAATTTGTAAAAAACTACTGGTAAATATTTATAGAGTTTCAATTAATATATTAAATTGAATATTTTTGGTGAAATTATATAAAAATAAAAACAAATATTTCATAATTTCATTTTAAAAAATATACACATGGACATTTTTTTTTTTTTTTTTTTTCTAATTAAGTTGTATAAAATTAAAAATTTAATATATATATATATTTTCAAATATTTATATATATTATAAAATATATATTTAGGTGGATATATAAGCATAATAAATTATAAAGAAATAAGAAATATTAATATATTCATTAGTATTTATTTACTTATTATTTTATTTTTATTTTTTTTTTTTTTTTTTTAGCTAAAAAAGTAAAGGCTTCCTCTAACTAATGATATATCTAATTCTCCTTGTTCAGGAGGAGGAGAAATTTTTGTTGCATATTTTCCTAACCGTATTTTAAAATTTTGATAAATATTTTCTAATATAGGTTCATTATATAAAGTTACAAAAGAATCTCTAATAAATTTATTCATGATATCCACATTACATGCATGAGCCCAATAAGAATCGTGAACTGCAGCAAAACTAAAATTATTTTCAATTAGCATTTTTTCAGCTGTCATCATTAAATGAGAAGCATCTAATGAATGAACAAAATTTGGTGGAAAACCTAATCTTTGTTTATTTTTATGTAGTAAACTATTTTTGTACGATATTACACTAACTGTTTGTAAAGGAGTATTTACTAAAATCCTATTCCCTAATCTATATGGTTGTTCACATGGTAATCCTATTGGTGAAATCCAAGTAATAGGGATATTTAATTCATTTGTCACTTTTGATAAGTTATTAAACCATTTTTTGATAATCATTGCTCTTTTAAATATTTCACTTATTGATTCAAATATATAATTTGCAATATATTGAGATAATTTATTAATTGTATTTTTATCTAAATCTTTCCCTATCATGGTTTGAATTTTTCCTTTAACTTGATTTTTTGCACCTATTGATGTTACCCCATAACATATGGTCATAATGGTTTGTTTCACAACTTTCCTTTTTAAAAGATCAAATTTAAAACAATAACTAGCATAAATATTTTTGTTTAAGTCATTTTTAATCTTATTTATAACAATATCTAAAACAACAGAGTAAATATCCTGTGGTTCATCAAAAGGTACAATATTTACAGCTTTTCCGCCATCTTTATCTCTTCCTAAAGCTGCATAATGTTGTAATCCATTACAAGTTCCATCTTGTTGAATAGGAATATTACTTTTATATCTAGAAGAATCAGAACATTGTAATGCCTTAGATAAATCTATAGAAACAGCTAATGCTTGCCATGGATTATCTGCTAAACTCCAAAACTCAATATTATCAAAAGGATTTTCACTTAATTTTTTAATTTTATCAATATTTTGATCAACCCATTGAATTCTTTTTTCAAAATTTAATTTATCCTTTCCAAAATTATTTGCTAAATGAACCTTTAACCAGAATAATCCTTTTTCTCCTATCTCCTTTTCATCATAAAAAACAATTAAACTTCTACATATATCATCACTCATATGGTGCAAGTGAGGAGACAAAGGATACATTCTCCCTCTAAAATCTATGTTATGAGGAAAATATATCATTTCATTATCTTTTAATGTTTTTGCTACTGCTAATTTTTGTAAAAAAGTTGGTCTTTCACTAATTAAACATTTATTTAATCTATTTATTTCTTCTTTTAATAAATAATATTTTCTTATTTCTTCGTTATTATTACTTTTCAAATCTACACTTTTAGGTAAACTATAATTTTTATTCCGAGGTATTTTACCTATTGTTATTCCATTGAAATATGCATATTCAATGAAATGCAAAATTTCCTTATTTATTTTCCATTTTACATTACCAATCTCTGATACAATATTTTTTATTCTAGTCAAATTACAAACATTTAAATTAAATAGAGGCTTAATGTTACATCTAATAAAATTATTTTTTAATAATAACATCCCACCTTCTGAATCTGTCCATCTTTTAGGTTTACATATCATCGGTAGATAATTTAAGGGAATATGAGAATTAATTGCATTATTTAATAAATAATTAGCACAACATTCTCTCATATGCATAACTCCATACCAGTTATTGTTTTTCCATATATATGAATGGATAAATACAGGTAATTCTATTTTATTTTTATCTCTTTTTGATCTATATAATATTATATCTTTATTTTTTAATTTTTCTTTCTGTTTTTTACAAAAATTATTCTCTTTTGATTTTTTTTTTGTTTTTTTATTTTTATCGTCTGATGCTATTATCTCTTCTACATCCTCATTGGCATTTTTTGAATAATTTATTTTATCAATATTATCTAAATTTTTTAAATTGTGCACATGATTAATGTTACTTATATCGTTTGTATAACCTCTTATATGCTCATTTGTTTCCACGTTTTCTCTATATTCTTCGTTATTTAATTTATAAATATTATCATCTTTTATGACCTTATCCTTCTCTACATTTATTGTTTTATTTTTTTCATTACATTCTTTTCTTACTGTTTTTAATATATCACTTCTTTTATTTTTATCAACAATTATAAAATTTAAGGAGTTTGATTCTTCTTCATAATATTTTTGATAATTTAATTCTTTTTTATATTTGCAATCTGAATGCAAAAGTTCTCCACTATTTTTAGCTGTTTTATGCAAAAATAAATAATATTTGTATTCCTTTTTATATTCTTCCTTTGCTGTATTTATATCAACATCAATTTTTGCATTATCTATTAACATTTTTAATAACAAACCACCAATTGATGCTTTTTTTACAGAATTCCATTGAATTAATTCAAAATTATTATTTAAAAATAAATTTTCTTCATTTTTTATGTCCATTTTGATTTTGTCGTTTACTTCAATCTTATTCTTATTATCGTCTGTTTCACATATACTCTTATTTTCCATCATTTTACTTTTTTTTATTTTTTCTTTTATTTTATTCAGCATTCTATATTTTTGAAAATGAGAAAATGAAGCATTACCTTTATTTTTCTTTATGAAATTGTATAATAAATTATTTTTTTCCAATAATTGAAAATTTAATTCGTTATTAATTTCTTCTCCAATCTTAATAGCTATGTGTGTGAACAATGATTGATACGCGTATGCTTGTTCGAAATTTTTTGATTGAGTTATAACGTTATTAGAATATTTTTTCTTTAAAGGATTAAATGTATATTGAATTGCCCACTTGACTGTTATGATAGCTAATAATTTTTCTTCTATTAATTCAGGAAAAAAACATTTTTTATTTTTTTGTTTTTTTTCTTTATAATTAATAATTTTTTTTTCCAATTCATTAACCCAATTCAAATATATTTTACATAATCCTTGTATTTCTGTTATTTTATTCAAATCATGTAAATTGGAAACAAATTCCTCTGCTTCTTCAATAGCTTTTTTATATGAAGATCTTTCTATTAGCATTTGTCTTCTAATATTTATTATATTATTATCATCAACAATTTCTTCACACACACTTTCATTTTTTTTCAGTTGTTCATCATTTTCCTTTTTATTATTTATATCAATAATTTTATTTATATTTTTATCCTGAACTATTGGATAAATATTATCACCATAAATAAGTTTTTTTTTTTCTTTAATAAAATTCATATCAAATAAATTATTTATGTTAATATTGAAATTTTTGCAATACTCATCATCACTGACACCACTGTTTATATCATTCTTCTCATTTACTATATCTATTTTATCAATATAATTAAAAATTTCCTTCCCTCCTATATCACAAATTAATAATCCATTTGCAGCCATATATAGGTCTAAATTTTCAAAAAAAATGATTATTTCTTTTTCAATATTTCTTAAATACTTTTTATCTAATGTGTTAATATACATTATAATTTGATTTCTTTCTTCTATATCTAACTTTTTAATAGATGATATTAAATTGTGCAACTCAATTATGATTTCTTTATCTAAATTTTTATCATTGTAAATGTTTTCATCCTTTTCATTGTTGTGTTTATCATATTCTTTTATATTAATATTTTTGTTTTCATCAAATTTAATATTAACATTGGTTTTTTCTTCATTTACTTCATTATGACTTTTTCCAATATTATTTGTGGAATCATTTTTTTCAATTTTTTCTTTTTCAAGAAAGTTTTGTTTTATATTATTAACATTTCTCTTAACACTCTCTTCGCTATCATTTTTATATATAGACGTTAATTGATTCTTTTTTTTTATTAAATTTATATTTGTAAATATATTTACCTTTATGAAATATATTGGTTTGTGTCCTCTTCTTAAAGTAAATAAATAGTGTTTATTTGATTCTATTAAACTTTTAAAATTATTTGAAATAATATTTAATCTCATTGATGTGATTAAAAAAAAGAAAAAAAAAAAAAAAAAAAACTATATCATTTTATTAATATTTTCTTTTCTTTTTCTTCATTTTTAAAGTATAATTCTAATATTCATCTTGTTATTCATTAAAATTTAGAATAAGATAAACTTTTCAAACAAACATAAGCAAAAAATTTATTTTTTTATTATTTTTAACATATAAAAAATACACGAGAAAAAAAAAAAAAAATAAATAAAATAAAATAATCAAGAAAATATAAAGCTTAAAAATAAAAGGAAATATAAAAATATTAAATTTAAAATATAAAAATAGATGTATTATATTTTCATAATAAATTGTTTCTTATTTTGTATTTTTTAAAAATACATTGAAACTGATGTTTAATAATTGTAAGAATTTTATAATTGTTACTTTTTTTTAAGATTTCCCCTTTAAATGGGAGCATTACAAATTAAATGCTTTTTAATATTTAAGTTTATCTCCTTTTTACATAAATATATATATAAATTTTTAATTAATAAAAAGAAAAGGAAAAAATGAGAGAGATTAATGATAAACTACTCATTCAACATCATTTAATTTTTACATAAAAAAAAAAAAAAAAAAAATAGAAAAAAAATATTAAGTGCATTTTACAAATATTTATTTAAATTATTCTGAAAAAAAAAAAAATATTTTAAAAATTTGTTAAATTATTCAATAATCAAAACTATTATTTTTTTGTACCTTTAATTTCCATTATTTTATTTTATTTTATTTTATTTTATTTTTTTTTTTTTTTTTATATTAAGGAACATCATCAAATTTTCATTTCAATTAAAAAAAAAAAAAAAAAAAAATTAAAAAACACTTTTTTAATTTATATACAATTTTTTTGTTCTACATAATAATTATTATTCTTTTTTTATTGTTAATGTTGATTATATTTTTATATTATATATTTTATACACTCATGTACTTTTTTTTTTTTTTTTTTTTTTTTTTTTTTTTTTTTTTTTTTTTTTTTTATGAATTAATAATTACATAATAAAATTAAATGTTTTAACGATTTTTAAATTTAATTGAATTACAAAAATTTAGAGAAATTTGTGAAAAAAAAAATAAAAATTTTAAACAATTATACACATAAATACATCAAAAAGATGGTTACAAAATTAATCAAGTTTATAATTTTAAGGCCAAGAGGAATTCCTCAAAATTTAGGTATTACATTATTTTTAAAACAAAAAATTTAAATTTTGAAAAAAATTAGACAGATGGATATATATATATTTATGGTTTTATTTATTTATTATTTTTATTTATTTATTATTATTTCTCATATTTTAAGAAAGCATACAAAAATTAAATAATACACTTATTCGAATTGTTTAATAAATAGAATGATCATTTTTTTTTTTTAAATAGAATTAGAAATAAATTGTAATGAAATAATTAAAAATCTAAAGCAAAAATTATTTCCAGAAGATATAAAAAAAGGTATATTAATAATTTTATAACTCTCATTTGTTAATATACTTTTATATTTTATTTTATTTATAAAAAAAAAAATATTGTAGACTTAAACGTAAGATTAATATATATGGGTAAGATATTAGATGATAAAAAAAAACTAGAAGATTATTTAAATTTTTATCAGAAGGAACTTTTAATAAATAACAAGAAAGACAATTATTTTATCAATGAAAAAAAAAATGAAAATCAAAATGAAATAAATAAGGATATAAATAATCAAAATATTTCAAGAAGTTATAAGGAAAATATTCCTATTACTATTCATGTAAAAATTACTGAAAAGTCTACTTCTGCAAAAAATGGTGAGTATTTAGAAAATAAGAAATTATTATCATTATAATTACACATGTATATATTATAAAGCCTTCTTTTTTTTTCTTGTTCCTTTTTTCTTTTTCTATATTTGTTTGTTAATTTTTTTTTTTTTCATTCTTATTTATATTTTTTTTTTTTTTTTATATCAGCAAATAATGAAGGAAAAGGCATTAATACATCTTTAGCTCAAATAAGTTTAGTAGCTTTTGTTTTATTATTATGGTTATACAGATATAATTATTCAAGTATTTTTCCGTTGTTTTCAACAACAGTATTATTTTTATTTACTATTTTAATTATGACAATTATTTTTCATTCTTATTTAGTTTTATTCTTTAATATTGCATTCAAAGTTATAACAACAATTTATCAAATTATTAAATATTACTTTGTTCGCATATATACTTACATCATTCAAAAAAAAGAGAAATTATGTATTAAAAAGAAATTAAAAAACGATGAAAATGATGAGAAAAATTTAAAGGAAAGCTAAATGATGTATATTATTTTTTATTCAATTTATCTTATAAATTTTTTTTAATCAATTAAACACTTTTAATTTTTTTTTTTTTTTATTTTTTCTATGTATTTCTTTTTATATAATTATAATTATTAACATATAATTCTATTATTATTTTATCATTATAATTATTATTTTTATTATTATTTACATTTAATTTTTATATGTAAATGTTCCACTTGGGTTACATATATATACCATTAGAAAATCGTCATAAAATATATAAGAAATTTAAACTTGTCAAAACTTAGATTTTAATTCTTATTTGCTTTTTTTTTTTTTTTTTTTTTTTTTTTT